AATCATCAAAAATGAGGGTTGGAAGGGACCTCAGGAGGTCATCTAGTCCAACCCCCTGCTCAAAGCAGGACCAGCCCCAACTAGATCATCCCAGCCAAAGCTTTGCTTAGCCAAGTCTTAAAAACTTCCAAGGATGGAGATTCCACCACCTCTCTGGGTGACCCATTCCAGTTTTTCACTACCCCCCTAGTGAGAAAATTCTTCCTAATGTCTAACCTAAACTTCCCTGGCTGCAACTTGAGACCATTGCTCCTTGTTCTGTCACCTAACATCACTGAGAACAGTCCAGCTCCATCCTCTTTGGAACCAACCTTCAGGTAGTTAAAGGCTGCTGTTAAATCCCACCTCAGTTTTCTTTTCTCCAAACTAAGCAAGCCCAGTTTCCTCAGCCTCTCCTCAGAAGCCATGTGCTCCACCTCCTGAACTTTTTTCGTTGCCCTCTGCTGGGCTCTAATTTGTCCACATCCTGTAGTGGGGAGCCCAAAACTGAACAAAGGACTCCAGAAGTGGCCTCACCAGTGCCGAATAGAGGGGAATAATCACTTCCATTGACCTGCTGGCAACGTACGTACCAATGCAGCCCACTATGCCATTAGCCTTCTTGGCAACAAGGGCACACTGTTAGCTCATATTCAGCTTATTGTCCACTGTAACCCCAGGTCCTTTTCTGCAGAGCTGCTTCCCAGCCAGGCAGCCCTCAACTTGTACTGGTGCATGTACTGTACTCTTAGATTCATGGTTCAAATAAACCTGAGTGCAGAGTCACAACAGGGACAGTTACTGGAAGGGGCAGCATGAAAAATGAGTTAAAAGACCAGGAATCTGAACAAGCGCATCTGGCATGAGAAGAGGACGAGAGAGAGATGCTGACACATAGATCAGGGTATAGGTAGGTGCAGTGACATGGACGTAAGGCACAAGCCATGAATACAAACAGGAGGGCAGGGTGGGAGGGCAAAGCAATGGCTGTGGGAAGAAAGCCAGAAGCAGAGTGACAGACAAAGCAGGAAGGACCAAGGGCAGCAGCAGGCAGTGGTTAGCAGCAGACGGGGGAAGATGAGGGTAAGTTACTTAATCAGTTATTTTCTGGAAGTCCATCTTCTAGCCATTCTCTCTCTACTGGGCTCATCTAATAGAGGATGCACCCTAGCCCCTTGACAAGTATCTGAAGATTGTGCCCTCCTCTTAATTATTTCCTCTCTTTTTACACTGAGTCTGCACAGGGGACTTTATCAAACTCTGGTTACTGCTGCTGAGAGTTTGCTGCTTTTTAAGGATGAAAAGAATGTTACATGAGAAGCTGCAGAACAGCAATGGCTTTATCTGACTCTCTTCTCTTTCAGAGTGGATTACGGTGAGATAAGTCTGGGTCCTGACATTCACACAGTTCCTTGAATCCTTAAGGATGCTTTCTCCTATGGCAGGGGTGGGCAAAACGTGGCCAGATGCGGCCCGCCAGCCCATTCTATCCCGCCTGCGGGGCCCCTCAAAAATGTAGCAATTTAATATTTATCTGCCCCTGGCTGCTTGTCATGCATCCCTCGATGGCTTGCCAAAACCCAGTATGTGGCCCTCCGCTCAAAATAACTGCCCACCGCTGTCCTAGGGGATGGTCAGGAGCTGTAATTTCCATTCAGCTGGAAATCCAGACATTTTAAAACTAGAACAAAAAATAGAAATGGCAAAATTTACCATTGAACAAAATTCCTGGGATCACTGAGCTTGGAATAACCTAATTCCACGCACTGTTTTGACAAGGTGAAGATAACATTGCTTCAGTGTTACTGTTTTGACTTTTATGTTTTGTTGTAAATAATATAACAAGTCTAAATGGAGCATTCCAACTATTACACCAAGGCATTTACATGCATTCCCACAGGAAAAAAAAAAATCACCAAAACATTTCAATTTTGTCAAACGAGTATTTTCTGATGGAACATGGTTCCACTGGAACAATTGTTTCACTTCACATTTTCTGTCCTTACATGTACACAAAGACTCCTTTTATTTCCACTGTTTTGGTGACATGAACATGGCAATGCACTTGGGAGTTTAACGACCCTCCCTTCATCTCGAGGATGGGCCACATTCTCATACCATGTAACTGGAGATCATTCCCAAGGAGAAAAATCCTGCTCCCAGTATCCTTGATATAAAGGAAGTATATCACTGCAGTTAATGGGGTTCACTGGAGCTGAGAGTGTTACTCTGGTCTTGCAATAGTACCTCTTTCCTCCCCATCCCACATTTCCAGTGTTATTCAGAACCAAACTTTGTCATTAAGTTTTCCTTGATGTTCAGGCTGGAAGTTTCTTTCTGTCCAACTATTCCTGTTCCATCCCCTTGTGCGTTTCCGGCTGTCCACAGACACTCAGGAAAAACTGGCCATAGGTATTCATCACAAAGTCACCATTTGGCACAACTTTTTAGGCAGAAACTAAGCCCTCAGTTTGACCTAGTCAAAGAATGCCATCACAGAGCCAGTCATAGGCAGACCCTCTCCTTTTTCGTCCCATAGAATAAGGATGATTCCACTGGCCACTTCATGAGTTTCATCCACTTGCTATCACCATACCTATAAAAGAGCCTGTTCCCTCTGTTCACTCATTCTGGATACCATTCAATTGAAGCTGGTTTTACACATGTGACACCACTGACTTTATCTGTGTGACTTCCAATTCCAATCTGTAGGAGAGGAGGATCAAACTCTGTGCTGGTAAGTGTCTTTTCTGTAGGAAGTGATCCTGGATTCTTGCATTTTCCATCCCTTTCCACCACTTAAAAAGGAAACAGTTTCCCAGGTGGATAGTTTCCTCTGTGCTTTGCCTCCAATCCGGTCTGCCTTAGGAGCCTTCCTCTAATCTAATGCACAACATTCCAAGCAGCCATTTGAAATGCTAATATTTTAATTCTCTACTATTTTTTAGTAGCTTGTCTAGACTGTTAATGCTAACCTTTGTGGTATCAATAGTAAAAATCCTACCATGGGAAATGACTCGCGCCATTTTGGTGGGACCAAAAACCTGGTAGGCCAGAACTCTGATCCCTCACTGAAGACCTGTTAAAGAGGCAACATAGCCCAGCAGAGAAAGCTCTTTGGCCCAGATTCTGGAAATCTGGGTTCTGTTCCCAGCTCAGTCACTCACCTGTTTGTTGACAGCCCACTTCTACACCCTCATCGATAAAATATGGATAATTTTTAATTCATACATTGAAATTAAAAAGAAACTGTGGAAGAGAAATGAACTGTGATGAATAGTTTTAAGTTAACATATCTTCTGATGACTGGAATCTTAGGCATCTTATCCAGAATCAATTTCTAACCTTTCTGAATATATTAGTCACCTTCTCATGCGTGTTCAGTGGCTTTTTGCACACTGCTTTAAAAATAAAAGCCATTTGTATTTTTTCCTTCTGAAAGACACAGTACAAACAACCCACTACTTTCTGACCTGGCCCCATGTGCTCTGTACATTTTTATACTATTTTTACATGGAAGTTTTAAAAATGCAGAAAAACAGGAAATTTGTGCTGAGACCCTTGATTTATGAACTAAATGTCATGAATTCCTTGTTTGTTAATCATAGACTGAACATAAAATATTTCCTGTGTTACGTTCCTGATGCAGCTTTTCTTTATGTTGCCAAGTTACTAGAAATCCAAACGTAAAGTGAAAACATTCATGGGTGCATGTGCATGTGCGTGAGAAACCTTGCAAGCCAGTTAGGCCATCGGCTCTGAAGTTGAGATTTAGTGACAAAATAAACATATCACTGCCACTTTAGAATGGAGACGCATTATTCATTTCATTCTAGGCCTGCAGACAATCTGAGAATTAAATAAACTATCCAAACAGTCTGTGGATTGAAAATAGAGTTGTGCCTAATTCTATTTAGTTGTCTCCTGACTGGCTTCCAGACAAGAAGGCCACAACAAAATACCTTCTGGACTATCAATCTAACAAGACAAGGGAATCAAGTATGCAATTTAGTACACGAGAAAAACCTTAAAATGATAGTCCTTATCATTCTGTGCACTGTTGGCACATGGAGCTTCATGGCTGCCCATGGAATAAAATTCAAACTCCCCTGTTCCAAACACTCAGACTTCTGCTCTTTAAGCCAAAGGGCAATCTCCATTATTATTGTGTGTCCTAAGGTCAGAGTGACCAAAGCCTCTGTGTGTGGCACATGGCAGATTGGGGAAAAGGCAGGCAGCACAGTAGTAGATGGGACAAGAGGCAGAAAACAGAGCAGTAGACCAGGCAGGGGAAGGGGACAAGAGTGGCCCCTGGGGAGGACAAAGGGTTACTTTGTGGTACACCTGCCAAACAGGTTGGCCTCCACTGTCCTAAGGCAAAAAAATAAGCAATCCTGACTCCTCCCTGTAGGAGGCAGTAAAACAAGGAGAGTAGCTTGTTCACTGCAACATCTTTCTCCTTGTTTAAAATATTTAATTTACGCTAATGGCTGTAAAAGTTGCTGTACTGTCAAAATCAAGATAGGCACAGGAGGGGTAAAAGTAATGTAAACTTTCTTGACATTACTCCAAGTGCCTCAATTCTGACTCCTTCCGTTCTTATGGCCCACTCAGTCTTTAGTCTACTGTTAGAGACTCATGTGAAAGGTGCTAATTTGGGCCAAGTGTGGCAGTGACACTTGACATTACAAACTAGAATGCTATTACAAACTTACTACACATATGTCAGTGGATGGGCAGGCTCAGCTGTACCACTGCATGTTCATCTTAAACATAGTCCTGAGGAAAGAGGTTGTGGCCCCTACTGAAACTATATAAAACTAGAGTAAAATAATTAACTGGAATCTCCTAACATTCAAACTTGATAATTTCCAAGGAGTACAGCAGCAATCAACAACACAACAGTATTAAGCAAAGATCAGGATCTGAAGTAAAGAATAATGCTCCTTATTTAGAGAGAAAAGCTGAATTTCCTTATTTTTATAGTCTCAAAGTTCAAAACTGTTGCAAATCTTACCAACCTGTTTTCTTTTCTTTGATGCAGCAGGTTTGGAGGCCATGTCTTGTTTCATTGCTCTAGTTGTAGTGGTTGCTTTTTCCACTTCATCATCATCATCAGAAGGATCTGAGAAAGAAATGCCATTTTGTTACATAAACCTACTATAGCGTTAATATTTCATACCTATTCAGGAGCATGGGGAAAATAAGGTTGTCATAGTGATACCACTCTAAATTTAAACCTTAAAGACAGCTCCAACAGCAAGTAGTAATTTCACAGTACAAATGGTAGCAAAAGTTTACTTTCAAAGCACAATAATTTCACTCCTCTGTATAATATTTACTCTAGACAACAATACATTTCCTGAGCTCCATGAAATTCTTCAAATCTGCTGCTGCTTGCAATTTCCACTCCTTCCAGAAACCTCACTAAAATTCAGCTAATTGCCAAAAATTTATTCAGTCATTGCTCACTGAATGAGCACACTTCAGGCTTATTGACATCTTTCTGCTCTAGTTCAAGACAGGTAAAAGTATTTCCCTCAGCAATAGTTCAGGGTTTTCTATATTCAAGAGTGGACCAATTCCAAAGAAACTGCTGTTAGACAAACAAATCAGTGACAACACTACAGCTAAAAACCAGTGATTCAGGCCACAGGAACACTGGGAAAAAAATCTCTGTCTTTGCGAGGTTTGCCAACACTTCTCATGGACTAAGTCAGCTTCTCCCACAAAAGACAAATGAAAAAAAAATCCAAATGGCTTTACTGATATTAATTACTTACAAGAACAAGAATGTTAAACTTGGCATAGTGTCCTAGTTTATATAAGTATATATTCAGATCTACATACACAATTGTGGACTCTGTGAGTCTCATTAAGGATAATTAGCTCATGGCACCATTCCCACAGTTGATATAAAATGACCACAAGGCAGAAACAAGCATATGTTTTGAGACAAAGCATTACAGATTAAGGGGAAATCCTTTCATCATCATCGCCAATTATAAAGAGTGCAAAACACAGGGAAGAAATACTAGCAATGGAGGGAATCTGTTCACAGTAATGTTACAGCCCTTCATTTCAAGTAGATTTTGTATTCAATTAAAAAACTCTCTCCTAGAGATCCCCAATTACTCTGTTGCCAATTGCCAGAAGCACCATTATCTAAGTCCAGCTGAATTAGCAGAAGTAACTAATCAATTTACATATCCAGTTATTTGGGGACTCTTTATTTTTTCTGTTTCCTAATACCTATTAGGCAAGTGTTGGAATCAGTCGCACTCTCAATCTAAACTTAGCAATCACCTATTGAAAGTTCTTGCTTTTTATTTCAGGTAGAAACAGAACAGTTCTTTAAGCATCAAACAAGCATGGGAGACATGTCTATTATGATGTGACATGAGTGTGAACCAGAAGCAGTTCATGCTTTCAGGTTTAGGGGACTTAAGAGAGACAGTAAAGCAAATGTAGCTAGTATTTAAAGTGGTAAACAGATAAATTCACCGTGATTCACTTATGGAAAAATAAAATGGAAGACAGAGGGATGGAAGGGGACAGGTAGCAAGGAGGCAATTAAACCCTATTTCAGAAGCACAACTGTGTACATTCAAACTCTCCAAAGGAAGCCTGGAGATATTTAGAACCAGATTTTTAGGTGACAATAGGACAGTAGTTTGGAACATTTTGAAAACCCTACTATACACAGGAGCTATCAATAAGTGTATGCGTTTATGCCTGGAAAGTATAACATTCTAACTTTAATGTCCTCTCATGACAGTCAGCAACCCTAAAATTAGGCTTTGGACAACAACTCGAGTTTAAGCTGTCAGAGTCTGAAAGCTAGTAACTGAAGAAAATCAGCAAACGCTCTGTAACAGATTGGATGCCATCTGTTATGAAACCGTTTTATATACCATGTTTTCTCAGATACAAAACATGTAATTCCCCCCAAATCAGCCCTCCCCAACAAAACTGGGGTGCATGGATTAAGCAAGGAAGCTGATTTTCTCCCGCTATAGAAGCACACTGCTTTGATTCCTGCTCCACAATGAAACATCATTACTATTCAGGCAGTCAAGGGAATCATTTGACTTAATGGCCCACTGTTCTTCACTCGACAGGTGTTAACCATCAACACTCTTTTTTAATAGTCTGGATGATCTTGCCAAGAAAGGTCAAACTAACTTTTCTTCTGGCAATCTTGCCAGTCTGTTAGCTGTTCCTGTTAACCTAAACAGGCAAAGTAGTGAGCCAGCTAAAGACATGGCTCTACCCCTGCTCTATGCAGCCATGACTCTAGAAAAATCTTTTTCTCCTCATCCTGTCTTTCAAAAACAAGGTGTGTATTATTTTCCAGGGAGTGCTGTATGTGAGAAAATACAGTAGATTGGATTTATGGACAGCTACGCTCACTTAAGAATTGCGACAGGAACTGAAAAGAGAAATTCCATTCTAATTTCTCAGCAGTTCAACACGAGCAATAATGACCACTTTAAGAAGGTCATATTAACATGTTATTGAATTTATATTTAGACCAAAATGTAGGGAAGAGACAAGAAGTATCATTTGCCACTTACGCAGGAAGAAGATGGATCCTGAAATTTTGAAGGGAAATTGAACAAAATACAAGCTCAGAACTGCAGCACTAGTGTGGTGACACAAAACAGACCTCACCTGGAACACTGAGTCACAGGCCTGCAGGAATGATCTACGCATCCCAAAGCAAAGTTTGCAAGATGTTGACTGAGGTTAATTAGGCGCACAGGAAATGTTTAGCAGCCATTAGGGGTGACTAGGTCAGGGGACCCAGAGGTTTCAGTTTACAACATTTTAAACTATCAGTTTTATTCAACTATGGGCAGTTTGTTTTAGTAAAAAACAAAAATAAACACAAAACCCCCCATGTAAAGTCCTATGGAGCACAATACTGTGAAACAACAAGTAGGGCAGGGTACAATTTTGTGGATTTAGCAGATTAATCAAGCTCAATCTCATCTCAAAAGCTTAGATATCAGTGCCCATTGGATTATTTCTCCCTGTCCTCCTGATAATACCTTGAGATACACTACTAAGCATTTCCCCCTCTCTGCCAGCCAGCAGTGGTCCCGCAGCCTGCCTAACATTATGTCCTTCCAGTCATGTTGGACCATTAGATGTCACTCTTCATAAGCATATGCTGCTGATGTCCTCTGGTACATTTTGGAAGTTTACATACATGGTTGATGACCTAACTATATCAGAACACTTACCCCTACCAATTTCAGGATAATATCATCTCCTGCCCTCCAGATCATTTGTCTACCAGCATGATTTTTATGGCTCACCTTGACGGAACAGCTTCTCTGGCCAATGCAAGAAGCCAGTAGTGGCATCTAAAATAAGTTATGCTTCTGCTTTTGTAAGTTCATCCTCTATTCCACACCCTCCAAAGCTTGCAGAGCTGCCAACTTGTATACAAGCTGGTATAACCCTGCAGCCTTTCCTACGCCCTGGTTATGTGACTGCAGTCCATCCAAGGGCTCAGTCTTCCCTTGCAACTCATCCAATCCAATACAGCCCATTATGGAAAATATTTGCTGCTACTTGATGTAAGTGCTGAATCAGTTCCTTCTCAGAATACTCCTCCTCACACACTGCAATGAGCAGGCAATGCAGAGGATGCAGCTAGCCAAGGAAAACTAACAGCTATCTTTAAACATTTCTTTATAAATCCTGAGTTGGCATGTCCAGAAAGGGGAGGGAGAGGGGCCTCTAAAAGCCAATAATAAATAACCGCTAAATTAAAAAACTGCTGGTTATGCAAATCTAAGACAGGACAACCAGTTTCCATAATATAACCTCACAAACAATGCGCCACCTGTTCACTGCCTGTCTGAATTTTGGCCTACATTTTATGATGCAACATCCTTCTCTACTTTCAGCTGGGTATCTAAAGGAGATGTGCCAACCTCTAAAGGAAAGCCCTAAACCATAATGAAAAACGTCTCCTCTGCAAACATCTCCCATCTGGATTTGTCTTTACAATGAACTATTTCTTATTCTAAATGACATCTGAAGAAGCTACCTATTCTGGAAATAGACATTTCTATCTCAGCAATACAGTAGTTGGCTTTGAACTATCATTGCTTGTGACACCATGTCAGCTCTAGCTCTCCTGATGGTAGAAAGGTTTTATTATATGTGTTTAAGTGCCACAAAGCCAGATTTGTGGCCATCCTTATACATGGTAAGTAGTACCTTACTCTGTATACAGTTACTTCTAAGTCAGTGGGACTACCAAAGGAATAAAACCCTATTCAGTGGGTGCATCTACACATGCCATTAATGCGCAGCAATAAACTGCAAAGCTCTGTAGTTTATTGTTCCTGGGCACATGGTTTCCACATGTGCCCAGACTACAACACAATGAGCCGGGTTGCAGCAGCCTTGGCTGGCAGAAAGACACAGGGAGTCAAACTACCAGCCCAAGGCTGCTCGGACTGGGCTCAACATGCTGTGGAAGGGCTGGCTGGGGCACAAGGGGCTAGCCAGCAGGAAACCCCTGCACTGAAGCATCCTGTTCTCCAGTCACCTGGGTCACCATCTACACATGCACTGCTGCACATGAAAAAACTCCACAGCAGGGTAGTACTTGTATTAACAAGTAGTACCACTGTGGAGTTTATTAATTTTGTGCACACTGATCAGAGAGCACATGTAGACACCAAGATGTATACTGCACAGTTAATTAGTCAACTGTGGAGTAAATATCTCATGCAGACATGCCCAGTGGGTGCATCTACATGTGCACTTTACTGTGGAGTTGACTAATCAGCTCCACAGTAAAGCATCACCATCTACACCTACACCAGTATTAGGACACAGCAAATTAACTAACTGCACTGTAAGATAAGACTGTTGGGGTCAGTACTATTTTATGGCAGAGTACTTAACTGCCAAAACACATGTGCAGATGGTGAAAGGCATTGGCTGAGATACAAGGGTGCTAAAGTGCTGGGGCTGCCTGCCACCTAGCCCTGCTCTTTAGCACCCTTGTGCCACAGCCAGCACCTCCACTACCTGATACTGCTACGCATAGCCCAGGGCTGACTCCCCAGACCCTCTGCCAGCCC